ATTGTACAAAAAGATAATATAAAAAGATTATCTCAAAATTATTTTCATTAATTAAATTAATAATTAATGGTTAACTATGATTTCATTTTTTTTTTTTTTTGGAAATTAGACAATTGCTTACCTTAGAGAATTTATCTTTTTAAGCATCTCCTTTCTTTTGCAAAGTACTCAGATTTCCATCCGGTAAGTCTTGGCCTAAGCTCAGTACTAAAATTCCCATAATCACATGCAACCATCCCGGGATAAAAAATGCAATCCTCCAGGCGGTGAACGGAGTGGCCCCGGTTCGCCGAATCACCTCATAGATCACCGGCATGAGAAGTTGAGTTACTCCACCTCCCATGTTGCCCCACCCTGCCGATGTTCCATTAACAAACCCGATTACCTAATAATAAGAGTTTATCGAAGTTAATACTCTTTTTTTTTTTTAAATGTTGTTTTGTAGTAGAGTTACCTTACCGTTGAACATGGTACTCATCCAGTATTGGTACGATACGAATGTTGCCAGGGAGAATCCGATCATGAATCTAACAGCTACGTATCCGTCGGCCGAAGAAACAAAGGGCATGCAGAAAAACTGTTGGGGCTGAGAGCATCATTAGAAACGCGGTGCCATAGCGCGGCCCCAATAGGTCACAGGCTGCACCCATCACTAGTCTGGAGAAGATGCTGCCAGACACAGGCAATTCCAGCGTTTCCGATGTCACTCTTGGTTAGGTTGAGGTTGTCTCGGATGATAGGAATGAGGGGGGCTGCGGCAAAGGTGGAGACGAAGCAGGTGAAAAAGGAGAGCCAGGAGAGGTGGAAGTTGAGCACGTGGGGTTTGGCCAAGGAGAGAAGGTTGAAGACTTTGGATTTATGTTCAGAGTCGACGGGGAGGGAGAATTTGAAGGTGGAGTCGATCGGGGGCTGCAGAGTCAGAAGTGATGGAGAAAGCAAAGGTTTGTTCTTTGGCAGAAACTCCAAGGACGGAGCTGCCTGGAGTGGTGGTCTCTTCTTCCTTGGACATTGCTTAATTCAATGTGGTATGATATCATTAGACATTACAATGTTGTTGAATGTGCTTATATAGTAAAAATTTAGTAAAATACTTAGGGGTTGGTTTGAAGCATTATCTTTGTGGGTCTACCATTGCACATATGATGCCAAAAAAGGTAAACGGGAGACCCAATTATCTTAGTAAGTGGCTTGCATTTTTTTTTTTTGGACCGTCAGCCTGTTTTGATAATTTGATGCACATTTTTTCACTTCAAGATTAAAGGTACGCTTGAAATTGGTGTGAAATGCTGTTACTATAACTGTAGTTGTGTTTAATTGTAACTGTACTATACTGTAGTTATAGTTTAAAGTTATTTTATATTTGGTTATTTATTTTTTAAAATTATTATAGATGAAATATAATAGATTTTATTAATTATTAATTAAAATTTAAAAAATAATATAAAATATATAATTATTAAAACATATAATATTTATTATTTTTTAATAATAATAATTGTTTAAAAAGTATTTTTAATTTGTAACTTAAAGGTAAGGTTAGAAGAACTCATTAAAAAAATACTAACAATTAACCATTGATAAGTAGCAAAAGTCCGTTTGTACCATTCTCAAA